ATTTGCTTACTGGGTGTTATATATCTGTGTTTGCTGGGTACGTATTGGAAAGACGTAATAGTATAGTAGAAGTAATAAAAAGAATATAGTAAATACAACTTCTCTTGTGAAAGTATATCAAGACGAAATACTGCATTATAAAAGGATGTAATAATTCTGCTTATGCAAAAAAGACCATAGGGAAACGTGTAGCATTATTCGCGTAAGTAATATTATATTGTAATTGTAATTAGTTAAATTTTTTAAATTACATTATAAAGTACCACGTAATGATAGCACGAATTTCCAAGGGACATCTTAGAAATGTTCTTGTGATGTCTTAAAAACATAGAAGTGTTCTCTGGATGCCTTTATAGTCTCTCTGAATGTCTCTTGGAAGTCTGTGCTCTCTAAGATGTCATATTTATACTTATCGACGTAATAGTTCTCACATTTTTTTCCATTAATGACAATCGAAAAATATGAAAACTGTTACGCCGATAAATATATTTTAACTCATTAAGTTACAAATATAATACACAAATATAATACACAAATAATATGATTGTAACTATGACATGTATTAACAATTGTTGTGTGAAATTAGTTTTACTTATGTCTTCATTCAGCATTTCATTTTAGTCTTTAAGTTCAATTATATGATACATCCCAGGAATACTATTCCGTTCCCGCATACCGACAGTTGTCGAATCGGTAGGCGTCGTTGCGCAGCTTTTTTATACTGTGGAAAAACTGCGCAACAACACCTACTGATTCGACAACTATCGGAACCACGGTAACGGAATAGCAGCCCAGACGGTACAAATATCCAAAATCGAGTCATAAGACGTCTTTAAGGCAACTTTAAAACATTTTTAAGATCTTTAATACTTTATAAACTTGTCTTAAAGACAACTTAAAGACGTCTTAAAGACGTCTTATGTCCCACTTTTAGACATTGTGCTGTGGATATAGGCTGTGTTTTTTTATTCGCAACAGATGCAGCCGATGTCATTCTATCCTTGTTTAACATTCGGTAAAATCGAAGGACAACATGACATCAGCTGCATCTGTTGCGAATAAAAGAACGCAGCCGTTGTATTGTGTTACGTCCACGATAGGTAACTACATAGGGAAATAGGGAAATTTGAAAATAGTGAAATCAGTGACTTACGTGGACGGTCAACAGAGTGATGACTCCGCTTTTGGGCGCTTTTTCACTCTGCTTTTCACCGAGTTTACCCTGGGTCTCCGGAGTCTGGCGAAACGATCAATGAATCTGGCAAGAAATCAGCGCTGCTCGTTCTCCTGACTCGGTCTCGGATGTTCCGGCGCTGCGCGGGATGATGCGGTCCGCGATTCCGAATTTCGATTTCGCAACGTTCGAAAAATGGAGGATAGGCAAGAGTATTTGCTACACGTTCGGATTTTACGACTAATATATTCCAAAGAATAGTTACACGAGAATTACCAGAGAATAATTATGAGAATAAGCGCCTTCTCGACAAATGCACGCGTTTTTATATGTTCGCTTTGTTGCTAAGAGTCGTTTTCTGATTGGCTGATGGAGTCATGGAAATGGAAGAAATTCATTCCATCGGTATGATGTCGCCACGTCAGTCCTGAGTGGTGTTTGGATTCAGTTTTCATGCTCCTGTTTATGTTAGCAGCGGGTCTCCTTATCGCATTGAGCGATTACGGTTTCTCTTGGTTGATCCATCGATTTTTAAGACTCTCTAACGACACGCAGTATTCAGCATTATAATTTTAATTATAATGTTTAACGCGCGCGAATATACATATACGCACGTACTTATAGGCTTTCCAGTTGCATACACTGTGTTACACAAAACCAGTTTATTGGTTGTGGGTGCTTTTCAGTTGCGTACACTCCGTTACACAAAATCAGTTTATTGGTTGCATATTATTTTACAAGATATTTTAGATAATATGTAACCAATAAACTGGTTTTGTGTATGAGTGTGCCAAGATGTGTTAAGCAATTAGAAAGCATCCTGTATATTATCTTACAAGATATTTTAAATAATATGTGACCGATAAACTGGTTTTGTGTATGTGTGTGTCAAGATATGTTAAGCAATTGGAAAGCACCCATTGGCTCCTGCACACAAGACACGGTAATTCTTGCCGCGTCCTGTGAGTAGGAGCCATTAATGGTGGGAGAACAAAGTAGAAGAGAGTAACGTAGAATAACCTAGCATTTTGGAACGGGAAGAGTTATCTAAAAATGATATATATAGTTGATGATATATTTAGTCTCGGTTTAATCACCGCAACGTAAGGACGTTAATACATATATTAAATGTTTAATGTAAACTAGCCTAAAAATAACCTGGTACATGTACCAAACGATTGCCAAAAATTACCTTATGACACGAATAAACCAAATTCCAAGAGCGTTACTTATTTAAATTTGCGCAGTTCGAACTTACTCCTGTAACCCTCCTTGGCTGTGTTCCAAAACTCTACTCGATGGGTAGAGTAGCGTTTAATTGACTAATAAGAATAAAGATAACTAGAATTTCCTTCCTTCCTTCAATATTTGGCTAGAGGCGCATCCATGACTCATGCCCCAACGCCATTACTCAATAACTAGAATTTCTTTATCATAGGCTGCGTTCAAAAATTCACTGCCAGTACTGAAATTCTATAGTATATGTGACATGAACTATAGATTTTCAGTACTGAAAGTGAATTTCGGAACGCAGCCATAATTAGTCAATTAAGGTTGCTTTCCAACAAGAGACACAAGTCGACAAACATCATTCTATCTTTGTTCCACATTTAGTGAATAACAAAGATAGGATGATACTTGTGTCGACTTGTGTCTCTTGTTGGAAAGCAATCTAAATGTACTCTACTCACTGAATATAATTTTGGAACGCAGCCCTTGAAGTTAAAATTATAAGAATCGATAACCTCTGATAACCTGAGTAGATAACCTCTAGTATAGAGAATCGCCAACTTGGTCACGTGACCAGCTGATTGGCTGGCATAAATATATACGGATTTAGACATTGCGACGCCAATGCAGAACAAATGCTTATA